TCTGCGTAGCCGTCTGAGATCTTTGCTGAGCACCCGAAGTTCCTCGGTGATGCTGGCAATCTCGTTTATGTGACAAGCGTCACCTAGTGCCTCACGTAGCTGGCGCCTCTGTTGTATGAGACTGGTCACATGTGCTGCGCGCTGCTTGTACTCGGGTGAGGGCGAAGGTGGAGTCGTGAAAAAAGGAGCAGCAGCCTCACCGAGCACCTGGAGTAAGTAAGACCAATCTCGATTGGGGGTCTGTTCGTTTCTCTGAAACTGCTTCGACTCCTCAATATCATCTGAAATCCGTTGTTCAACCCTTTGCAGAAATTCCACTCGATGTGTGCCACGTCGTAATCCATCCATGAGAGCATCTCTGTTCCAGCGATGTATATTCTGAACGAAGCCCAGCTGTGGTCGATCAGCAACTGCCGACGGTAATCCAAGCGTATCCATGAAAGAGTAAGCTATTCGAGCGTGGACTGGGATATGATCGCGAGGCATGTGGGCCGCTATAGCCTGCAATGATCTTCCCATGCGTCGTAGCGGCCCCGCTGAGAGTATTTGAGATATCGAGCACCGTGGGATGATGATATAGTCCAGCTGGTTGCCCTGCCCCTTATTGTTGAAGTATGTTGCCCCATAGCCTCTGTGTGTGTTGAGTACCGCCATGTCGAGCATGTCGAGGAGGGGGAGGAGGACCTCTGCCGAGTACCTCTGGCGGGCTTGGTCGTGATAAGGTCCAACCGCCGTGCTGTCTGTAGGTCGCCATAGTTCAGAACCTTCCAGTCTCGTGAGCCCAAACCCCGAGTTGAGGTCCGTACAAATAATGGGAAAGACTCTGTGCACGCTCCAGAAGGGTAATGAGCGTAACCATTTCACAAGAGAATCGCACGTCTGGTAATAAGCCTTGAACTGTCCAGCCTTTGCAGGTACTGGAGGAAAGTAAATAGAGATCACAGCAACATCATAATATTTACAGCGTGCGCGCAAAGCAACGCCTCGGCCAGGGACTGGGCACACAAATGTTTGTACCACCGTGCTGCGCTTGATGTGTGGCCCGAGGAGAATAGAGCACCCACAAGACTTATTGCTGTGAGGGGATCTGTGCCATCCAGCGTCCAGGCACCATCTGGTGCCTACTCGTCTCCACATGGCCACTCCAGCTGGTCCGTAACGCTGCGCACCAGTTGAATTGAGACAAGTAAAATCCGTGTTCTGCGAAAGGTCGGCGATGTCCTGCAATCTGTCAGAGGTACTGGCGTACATGGGATTGAATTGCAGGATACTCAATGTGTGCTTGACCCTCCCCCGCGCCGTAGTCATTGTGCGGATGGCCGAGACTGCACTTGTCCCTGTGGGCCCTCAACTCATGCGATTGAAAGTCCAAGAGAGACACGCTGCCTCGACTGAACGAGCGCCAAAGAGGTAGCAGTGTGGTGGGCTAAATTAGGGTACGGTGGTGCGGAAAGTGTGACCAGCCCTGCAGAGCCGGCGCTTAGGAAGAGGAGGAGGCGGAGGCGGAGCAGGAGGAGGCGGAGGTGGTGGAGGGGCAGGAGGATGATATGAGGATGATGAGGA